AATATTTTTTTGATGATTCCTTTTTCAAATTGTCACTTAGATTGTACTTCAGTGGCCTGAATGGAAATGGTGAAAATTCATAAGTCAAAGAACTTGCATTGAACTTGTTGCAGGGATTTGAATTAAAACTTGTCAAAATCGCTGTGACCATAATTATAGTCAAGAGAGTAATTTATTATTGTTAATTCACAATTTCTATAACAATTTCAGGCTTTAGGGACAAGGATTGACTTTCTGCCTATTAAATAAAAACTGAATCATAAAGATCTCTTTAAAGTTAGATGTTTCGAAGTCGGACAAATAAGAGAAAAAGTCACATTCGGGCAAAGCCATTTTAAGATTCATTAGCTCCAAATTCGTCTGTGAACATGTTCTAACTACAAGAATAGTATTTGTCCAAAAAGATCATTCTAGTTTTTATGGTGAAATGACATACAACTGTAGTTTAAATTGCATTTTTATAATTTCACAAAATAATCTTCGGATTTTCTTTAGGTTTTTTGCAATCTTAGCCATTTGATCTGCAACGGCCATGGACGTGGTGTATGTGCACACAGTCAGAAAAGTACAAATAAATAAAAACTAGCAAAACTTAGAAGCAATTATTTAAGCATTGAAAAGTTCACATTCAATGCACTCCAATTTTTCACAGAAAATGTTACTTGGAGGTAGATGAGTACTTTGAAACTCACATTTTTTTCTACTTTTTCTTTCGTGTAACGTAAAATAAATTATTCACCGTCATCATCATCATTTTATTTCAAGAACCTCTGTAGGAGCCAAGGGCATTTATTACAAATATTGTTTTCTTATATTTGTGAATATTTTGAAATGTTATTTTAAATCTGTAGTTGTAATTTGTCTGCATTTCCTGTGAAATAGTTAATTGAATGTATAAGCCACACTGTCACTAGCATGAAAACAGGTACGGCAAATTAAAATGATACAAATAATTAGAAAAGTTGAAATGTATCTCTTGCTTGGTATTATTGGAGAAGATAGCGTAATGGCCATAGTTCTGCAGTCATAATCCCAAGATAGTTATCATCAAGTCTTGCAAAATGAAATGTCTACTATAAAACATTTGAAGTACTGAACTGGTAATGTTAGTTATAGAAACACCAAACATTACATGAAATGCCATTAATTGCAATATTTAGAAATTTCAATTAATACAATGGTTTTCAACGGTCATGTAGTAATTGTGTAAATGCGTAATCAGATGTTATGTTTGTATGAATCTGAAACTTTCTTACATGATTTTTATTTTAGAAAAATCATTTCAATATATGTAGGTATTCCTTAATTCCAGGACATATTTTTACAAAATGTGTTTTAATATATCAAGTCTTGCTTCTCTGGCAAATTTACCTACTACCAACTATTGTTGATGTAATTAAATGTGCTTTTGCACACACAGTGATGCTTCCTGATCTTTGAACAAAATTCAAAGACAAAAATGATTATAAAATACACAAAGATTTACATTCTTTTTCAATATTCTTGAGGTAGAATAATAGAGGTAAAATTGTGGAACTCAAGAAAAATGTTTAAAAAGAGCATATGTATATATGTTTTCTGCTTTCAATAATTTAAAATCTATCTGCCAGTTTCTACAAAATAATTTCTTGAGCCTGAGAAACATTAAAACTGAGAAAAAAGTTTTTGATTTCCAAAAAGTAATTATTTTCACTTCAATAAAAATTAAAGTTTTGTTTTGCATCTATTTCATTCAAATAGTTTTACCAAATGAAGAATCACCATCTTAAACTATATAATTTGTGAAGTAACAATAGACATGAGCACTAAACACATCAACTAGTAACACACCACTAGTTGCGAGAAATATATTTTAATTATTCAATTTTTATACTATACTTACTTCTTAATTACAGCGACTGCAATAAATTACATTTCCAACTAATTTTAGACAATTGCTTTTTCAATTCTATTGTTTGAAATGTGTTGCATGCGAAAGCCTTAGAAGGAGTTATTTAAAATTTCACACTTAAAAAATGTCTATTAATCCTCCATTGTTCGCAAGCAGACTGGAAGACATCATTTGGTTACTTTTCCTTCCGATTGTTACTCTAACTTCCTTATCCATTGTGACTTCACTTATAGTTTGGCACTGATAATTTATTTCAAATTGTTGCTCACACCACATGTACTTAGGTTGCAAATCTAGCATGTGTACCAGAGGGTTAAAATGTGTAGTATAACAATCAGCAACACAGACAACACAGTAACATACCTTCTGGATCTCAGAATAATATAATATTTATACAAAATATGTATCAATTTTAATATTAACTAATAATGCAGAAAAAAGTACTTAATATGCTGGATAAAAGTTTAAATATGCAGTATTCAATGAAAAATCATCCAATCAAGCCTTGTGCATAAATTGAATTTGTTCAATGAATTGGTTACCCGATCGGGATTCGAACCCAGGCCTCCTGGTTTATGCCCAGCTGCTCTAACCACTAAGCTACCGAGACAATCGATTCTTAGAACAGTTTTCATGAGCACAATTCCAAGGTGTGTCACCAATTGATAAGGTAACGGGAATGGTGACAATTATGTACATATACAAGGAGCGATAATCACGCTCATGAAATGATGACACTTATCTAAAAAACAACTAAATTTCACATTTTCATTGTGTTGACAGAAATGTCAACTCTTTTAATAAGTGTTCATAATCCTTCTTACAGCATTTAATTTTTTTCTACTTCAACTACTGTCCTCTAGCAAGTTCATGAGAAGCATAAATAAGCTTCCCAAGATGATATTCATCCCGAATACATAAGCTTGAAATATGACATTTGGATTTTTTATGTTAAATATATACTTGTATACCATCCAATTTATGCATGTATTACAATCAGAAACAACTTTGCATATGAAAAGCTATTGTGATAGTATGCAAATGTAGATTTCAGAATAATAATTTTAAAAAAAAGTAATTATTTTAATTATTTTAAATCAACCTGCAGAAAATATTTCATTATATATGTTTGACAATCTTAAAAGATAATAAACAAGAGGATAATACAATTAAAACAAATAATGAAATAAACATAGATTCATATTTTAAAAACAATATGAAATGAATTTGGGAAGAAAAAACAATAAATTGAGCTGTGAACCTCATTCTATGCAGTGAAAGTTGAGAGAGAGTGCAGAGGGAAGTTTGAAACAGGGTTTCAATGTTTCTGGGGCTACATGTGAGGTGCCGGAGGAGGTCTGGTTAGTATCTTTTTGGAAATTGCTCAGGAAGTGGGGAGTCAGTTTATGGGGGAGGGGTGTGTAAAATGATTAGCAGAGGGTAATACAATTTTCGTGTTTCTTTTATCACAAATGAATCCCTCAAACACCTACTCTTCTCTCACAACCCCACCCCATTCATAGCGAAGTCAGGGGTTTATGCCACAATTGCAAAGCTAAATATATAGGCAGCAGAAGCTTCAATACCAAAATTAAAGAACATTTACTTGCTGGAAACCGTACACAAACGGATCACTTTGCTACACATTTTATAAACAGAAGCCACACTTTTCACCCTGACTCAGACATTACAATTCTTGAAATAGAACAAATTCTGGAGCAGGAGAGCTTTAGAAAGTTTTCACATTTTTCAACCTAAGCAGAAATATTAAGCTGTTTTCAATAAACAAACCAATTTTCCAGTCGTCCTCTGCTAATCATTTTATAGACCCCCACAAACTGACCCCTGCCTCCTGAGACATTTCCAAGAAGACATTAAACCAAACCTCCAACCCCTCACTCGTGGCCCCATAAATGTGCGGAAACCCAATTTCAAACTTGCCTCAGCGCACTGTCTTCTGACTTTCACTATGTGGTAAGGAGCTCGCCAGCAAGGTGAGCAGCTCAACTTATTCTGCTTTACTCTTTGAAATTTCATTTAATATTGTTTTTTTTAAAAAAATGTATCTATTTTAATTTCATTATTTGTATTATAACCCCCTCATACACTTTTTTTACTGGAAAACAATTTTGAAATGTACTCATGGTAATTTCATTTCTTGAATTAATTGTATGGTAAAACTTGTATAAGGCAGAACCAGAATAACGTGGAAACCTAATTTCACTGAAAAAATCTCTGCATGGACCTCCTATTTAAAGTGCACTAGACAAGCCAAAAACCAGCCTAACATGGAAGCGGAAAGGGATTTTTAGTATGATGGTTTTAAAAATTCTGGATAAGATGGGAAACAAATATTATTTTAAAATTAAACATTGTCTTTATATGTGGTGACATCATACTAAAAGACATTGAGAGCTGTGTTGATCCATTCACTTTCTCAGCTTGCCGAAGTTGTATTATTCATACTACTCATGCAAAAGCGTCTATTTATTTGTAATAGCACTGATCTCTACAACCCCATGTGAAGGAAGGTGAGAGGCAAAGAGCGATCCTTCCACAATTCTTGTAATGCAAGCATTGGGTTCAGTGATTCTAAATAATGATGGTTGTTGTGTTAATTGAGTGTTAATGATGTAAGGTGACAAGTAAAAAATGTTAACTGTTGCTGAGAAAACTAGACAAATTAAAGCATGAACAAAGCAATACTTCTGTCAAGATTTGATCAAGAAATTTAAAGTTGGGAAAACTAAAGGGTGTGACACCTTAAAAACAAAGACAAAATCTAGTATGAGTGTTTAAAAGAAACTTTTTTTTTATAGGATGGTTAACAATATTCATGAAGTCCATGGTAAATAGCACCCCCCCCCATTTTGCCTGGAAAACTGTACAAAGTTATTTTATCTTACTTAAATGGTAATAAGCATTATTAGAAGAACTTACGTTAAATGTGAATTGTGGAAAAAAGTGGTTTGTGTACATCATTATAAGAGCCCACTGAGTCATGATCATTGGTGTGTAGGAAAATGATAATGAGAGTATAATGAATGCAAACCCTTATAATGAAGTGTTTATTTCTATTGTAATTCAAAGGAATATACTTTCATTTCAGGCTTTGGTGCTCTCACCCCTTAATCCATCCACTTATTCTGCTATGGGCTATGTACACGCATTATTAGGAAATACAGCAGAAGCTGTGGATGCTTTTCACAAAGCATTGGGTGTACGGCGTGATGACACATTCAGTACAACAATGCTTGGCTATGTTGTTGAACAGCTAATGGAGGACACACCTCCATTTAAAGGTATAGAAATATGACTTTTCCTTTACAGAATGATTACAGGATATTTTAACTTCAGGTTAGTTAAATAAATATGTGTTTCTTTAATGGCAGGTGCTCCAGATGATGTCCCAAATTACAGTATTTCACCCACACAACCTATGGTAGTGAGTGTGGAAAAATCTGAGGCAGATAAAAGCATGTTTGCAGACAGCCAAGCAGAAAGTAATGTTGAAAGTGAAAATGGAAATTGCAACACAATTGAAAGAGTTGCCTACTCATCCCGTTCTCCAATAATTGAAGTAGAAATGCATGATTCATCATCTGCGCAAATAGAATGAAAGTTTCTTGATGTGTTTATTGATTTTCTTTGTATATCTTGATTATTTGGGTAAAAAAGTGAAATAGATTACTTTCTCATCAATAATTGATGCTTACTACTACTATCCACAAAATATTTTGAAGAAAGTGAAAGGTGCACATCATGTGAAGTAGATCAATTTTGTTCAATTGTATCGAAAATGCATACATATATCATATTACAAAGTAAAATGTGTTATTTTCTACTACAATATCTCACTCTAAAGTTTTAATATGAAACAGTAGTGAAATTTTACCAAACCTACATTTTAGTAACATGTCAATAATTGTAATGATTTAATTAAATAGTAGTAAACTATTATTGTAAATATAAGAACATGAAATCAATCTATATGCCATTTGAAAAAGAAATGTACCAAAACTAAGGTATCATACTATGTGCAGGAATTTTTATATAACCCTGAATTCTATAGTTAATCTCTTTTGTCTTATTCAGTGTAATTTAAAACTGAAATACTTTTCTTGTTTATATATTTCAGGATCAGTACGTTAAATAACATGCACTGAGCATGTCATTTACAATTCTAACAATTGGAAGGTGTGTTCTGAAATGATTCAACTCAAAACTGAAAGTTTTCAATAGTATAGAAGAGTTTTACTTGTTTCACTGTAATTTTTGTTTTTCAGTCTGAAAATGTGATGTTTATGTGTGAATGATATACGGATGCATGAATTTACAGAACATATTATTGTAAACATTCCTTAAGATTTCATGCCATTTTTGTACAAATGTTTGTTGTTTGTGATTGAAACGACATAAAATTCATATTTTGTACTTCTGTGTTGTATCTTTTGTTGTTGAGAACTATTTACCTACTTAGCTTAAGACATCAGCAGCAACCGTAGTTTCATGGTGGACTCCTCCATAAAATGTGTGTCCCTCTGGTAAGTCTGATCAATGTTCAGATATGTGATTCTACACCAGTTTTGATGCATAAATTGAAATTAAAATTCTGGCATAATATCTGCATAAAATATATTGTGTTCATCAAATTTTAATATTTTTCCGTTTTTTATCACTATGATATTTTATGTTTATGATATTGAATTTTTTGGATAAAGTTAAATTGAAGAATTGAAATTAAAAGTATGTAAGTGCCATATCCATACTGTCGAGAAAAATGAGTTTGTGTATACCTTAAACCTATTGGTACATACAACTCCTGCCATTTAAAATCACCCTGTAAAGGTGATCAAGCAATACATCTGGACTTTGGTTCATGTTTATGTTATAGGGCTTGATTCATTCATCATTTTTCTGGTAAATCATAAATTTAATGGAATGGCACTTTCATCCTTTTTTTATTTCATCTTCAATTTAACTATGCAAAAATCAGAAGTGTTGCAGTTATGGAAATAACTGTTATATTTTTATGTATGTTATTAAAATAAACTTTGATGTCTTTAACTGTTGATAATTTGAAGGTCTATAATAATTTATTTTTTTTTGGCCCAGCATTCATAAAGGCTACTGTGATAATTATTTCCTGGGAATTCTTTCTTAGATTTTACAGGAACTTTTGAGCTGGCCCTATTATAACAGTTGAAATAGGTATACTGTATCATAAAGATAGGAAAACGAGGATATACTATATAAGATAAGAAAAAGTGTTTATTTCATTGCTTGTTGGGAAAAACGTTATAAAACTATATGAAGTATGGGTGAGAGGGGAAAACACACACACACACACACACACACACAAGCACATACATACACCCTTTGGCCCAAAAGGTTTTGCTTACCAAGCAAGAAATAAATCCAACCAAAAATGATATTTATATATTATTTATTTTAGAAATTAAACATAACAATACAGAATCTTTAAAGCTCCTTGACACTGTTTTTGTAAAGTATAACAAAAAAATAAATGGTCATTTGCAAACCTAGCTGAAATTTTTTAAATAAACACATAAAATCATCTGGTATTTTGTGGAACTTAACATATGTCAAAAAAATTCTGAATACTTGATTCAGATTGTCAGCAACACCTCTGTGTGGTAGTAAGATATAGAACAAACTGTCAACAACCAACAACCAGAGTTCAATTTCATGGAACTGTGAAATATTCATTAGGAAGATCAATTGAATAATTTTCACAATCCTGAAAATTATTCAATTGAAAAATTGTACAAAGATGCTCCTGAGGGAGGGGGGATCAAGAGGCTGCATCAGCCTCTCCCCTCCTCAAAGCCAATAATACATATTTTAAAAAAGTAATATAGTTTTTACTGTACTAATGAAAATTAATGATTGCTGTACAATTTTAGTACTCACTAGTACTACTCAATAGTACTTTTACTATCCTAATGAAAGTGTAATTTTTTTATTAAAATGTCAAATCAGCTGGGCATTATACCTCCCATTCCCATGAAAAATCCTGGGTGCACCTCTGCTATTAAATCAAAGTTAAATTTCTTTATAGGAGTTGTGAAAAAAAGAGTACAATAATGTTTACTATTGAAAACAGATAAGAGTTCAAAAAAGGATTCGTTCTAAAAGAGCACTTGTACTTAGAGTATGTCTGATAACCCTAAGTTGTAAAATGAGTGGTCACAGTCATCTAAGACTTGGTTATTGCCAGCAGTCAGAAGGGAATTCGATTTTATAGAAATTAACCCCATTAACAAATACCAAAAATTGTTAAAATTAAATTTGATGTACTTTCTCATTTTATTTCAGAAATTTATGTATTTAGGGATCCTGTGAGTAGCTTTGCCAAGATCTATTCTAAAACGACCTAGAGCGATTTTTATTAAAACTTCAGTTTTTTAAATTCTCAAAACGAGCGGTATTTAAAGGAGGTTCATTGTTGACCTATCACACTGTATGTCGCTGCTGTTAGCCGAACTGTGATATGAGCGTTGACGTCTACATCATGTGACGTTGACCAATCATATTGCTCCGTGACGTCACCAGTGCACTGTGCTAAGCTGCAAAGCATGAGAAAGCATACTCCGCCGGAATCAGATTGTGAAGATTCACGGAGTATGTTTCGTCGCAGCCGGGAAGCATACGTCGTTAAAAGCTGTTTATTGCTGCTTGTGTGATTTCGGAAGGCTTTTCTTGGTGTGTATTGAAGTCCTTCGATATTCTTTCGTACAGTTAAATGTTCGATTGCTCTTGCTTATAATTTAAGTTCGTTAAGATTGATTTGTTGGGTGGAAAGCCCACGTGGATTACTTGCCATCTCTTCCTAATATGCTGTCACTGCAACAGGTAAGGTAATTCATCTATTAAAAAAGAAATTCATACAATTTTTCATGATGGCTACTATGTGTTTCTCGCACTTTACTGACGAACGTAACCTCTTTTAACAATATTGTACCAAATGTCAGGTTACAGGATTACTTTTTTCGTAAATGGGAGTAAATTATATCATGCATTTGCTATGTCCATATTACATATACAACTGGCTTCATTGCTTGTTGTTTTAAATCTATATTTTACAACTGTCAAAGTGCTGTTATAAATGTCAGAATATAAGTTTCGCCCACTAATTTTCCGGGATATGGTTCATTGATTGTATGGAAGAATTCAACGTTTTTATATCCAAACCTGGTTGAATAATTCTACTTGCGAAGTTATTGGTCTACTCAATAAATCGAACGATATGGAATCGTGTGAATATTGATATCACTATTTGGGAAACTTGGTGAATAAAATTTGTTTAAAAAACTTAAGGTACATTGTAAATTAGTTAAACAAGAAAGTGACATGATGGAAGTTTATACTCACTTGGAGGTTAAAGTACACGTGTTGGGATGAAGCGCTACTATTGCAGGCTGCCTGCACCGCTACAGAACCTTCATCGATCCAACGTTCTGTGGGCCTACCTGTTGCGTCACCAGATCGTCACGATGCTGCGAGGGCATGGAGGATTGACAGACGGAAGAAATGTAATGCTCAGAAAGGGGCACTGGTTTAGTTCTATCCATTTCCCTGGAAATATTCTTCTCATTTTTCAGGAAACGTATTCGTTAAGCATATTATGTGGGAAGTATATGTAAAATTTTATTATGAGTTCGAAATAAACCGGACAAATTGAATAGACATAATTGATATTTTGTCTTCGTTGTACTGCTATCTATTTCTTGTTTTTTAATAAAAGTAAATAGGACATACTTTTCGCAATTATGTACTATATTCTTGAGAATTACAACTCAGGTTAATATGTAAAGGGCTTCTGGAGTTTATTTTTAAATCAGATTAGGTTCTTTCACAGTGAGCACTAACATAGTAGAAAATGAATCTCATATTTTGGAGATTTCTTAATTTTATAGTTTTGAAGTTGAAATATTAATCATTTTACTTAGGAAAGAGGGGACGAAATTTTGTGCGAAGTAACAATAACCTTGGCCACCTGTAAGTACATTTATTGCAAATTCTTTTCAATGTAACCGCTTTATACATTTAAATGAAATTGACAAAATTTAAAAGTAGAATGATGCAGTATCAAGTGGTAACATAATTCCGTAATAGCACATAATGTGAAAACCTGTTTTAGCCTAAGATGTTAGTGCGAAAGTCTTCAACGTAGAGCGTGAAGACAAGGCCACAATGGCAGAAGATCCGGAGAAGTTATTTCTTATGGAGTTTTTGGTGGAGAGTGTGTATGTTCATAAACATGGTGGACAGATGATAGGTGCTACAGAGTGGATGATGTGCGGGCCAACTGCCGTTTCGTTTCAGTTCATGACGTTTCCCACATTAGAGATACTAGAGACGGAATTCCCTGGCAAAGGATGTCCAGGGTCTGAGCCACAAATGTTCGAGAGCGGTAAATCGTGTTTGTTTTCCCTGCCTGAGAGAGTATTGCGAAATGCCCCTGGGGAATTAATAATCAATGTGGAAGTTTCGAAGAACCTCCCGGCAGGTTGTTCACCCAGTATGTTGAAAGTGGGGGAAACTAAGATTGACTTTACAAACGAATTCAATTCGGTTGTTAGCGATATCTACAAAAATCCTAATAAAATTCCTGCAACGAAATCGCGGAAGGAGTGTTATGCTCTTCGGCATCAAGGGGGTGTTGTGGGTCAGATTAAACTTTTCATTAGATTGTCATGTTTTGGTAAGTTGATTATCACCCAGTTCACATTGGCCAGTGGCAAAAGCTATTTATTTAAGGGTAACAAAGACACCCTTTACAAATGCCAGGAAGTGGATACAGAAACGCCTATTTCTGCCCCGTGCGGAGCTGGCGTTGGCAGATTTTTCCCTCAAGCTACGGATTTATTATCTGCTGTTGGGCAGCGCCTGGGAATTAGCCATGGCGGCCAGGGTGAACATGCAGGCATCGCAGTTGCCCCGAATACTTGCGCTGCAATGCATGCCATGGAGGCAGCAGAGGCCGGATTGCCTTGCGAGTGGTTTAGTGCGTCCCGTGGTACTCCGGCTCCGAAATGTGGACCAGGGAAAGGCCCTGCGTGTTTTAAGATAACGAAGGGCCAGCACGGTGATCAGCCTCCAGAACCTCTTAGCTCTCTGCAGAACCCTCAGTGTGCAGCCACAGTGGACGACGCCTATGTCTTGCGCGTAGGCAAACGGTGTACGAAAGGCTGTGATGAAAAGGAACAACTTGAGTTAGAACTAAGGGCGCCGCCCCAACGTTATAAAGACACCAAAGAAACCCAGTGGGAAGAGTTGGCCGAAGAAGGAAAGGGAAAGGGCAAGAAAGGAAAGAAGGAGAAAGGAAAGAAGGGAAAGAAAGGGAAGAAGAAGAAATAGGGTGGTGGCAGGTAGTACGAAGTAGGTGTTGGTAGATTGTGTGGAGCCTCTAGTAATGTACAGTTGTGTAGTCCTGGCATAATAAAAGCTCTTGTTCATTAGCTGATAATCAAAAGTATGTTCTGTGTGAATGAATGGATGAATGATCTGCCAACCCACAAGAGGTCGTTATTTTGCGTTCTTCCAGTTATCCATGGCTTTGCAATCAAAACATTTAGGAATGTTTCTTGTATTGGTAAAAGTCAAGGAGGAAAATGTGAATGTTAAGTGCGGTTTTGTTTTTATAATCCACGCACGTGTTAACTCGATTTGCTTTAAAGAAGTAAACAAATTGAAGCAAATGTGTACAATTTTATTGGAGTATATGAAAACTTTTTATAGAATGGTTTATTAGTCCAGGAAGTTTGCTTGCTATTGCTATATTACTATTCTATTCCAATAAGTTTGAGAATTTATTCGATTTGTACACCCGTGGCTTTCGTGCAATTTTTACATTGTCGCTTTGTACTAATTTTCTGTATTTATGTGGTGTGGCCATTTTTGTTTCTGCATGTACAGGGAAGATAAAAACTCTGAATATACAAATTTCTGAAAGTTGAAATAAAAAATGTTCTCGTAATGATAAAGCTTGGATTTAAATGTCCCAAATTGAAAGATGTAATAAAGGAGCTATGCCTAAAGTTCGTGTATTATTCTTTATTCCAATATTGTCTTGTATTAGACTAAAAAGGAAGTCCAATTTAGTACGTGTACACTGGCGTTCAGAATAAGTCCAATATAGTAATGATAACATTCCAAATTGCGAGTTACTTCCACATTTTCGGAAGTACGTGAACATGTTATTCTTTGTAAGAGTCGTCTCGATAAGCAATTTTAACTCTGATCTGATGCGGGATTCAGGGGCAACTGCCGCACCCCCCCCCCCCAATCTTGGGACAAATTAAATTAAACAAATTTTATTAAGCTGTGCTAATAACATCCATTAATAAATTGGCGAACTATGGTTCAGTATTATGAAACCCGCGAGATAGTTATTGTGAATATACCTTAATAATAAATCCTCTTTCAATTATATTTTACTTTTAAACATTATTCCATTAGAAATTCCAACTCCATTAGAAATTAAAGAGTTGCACCCGTAAAATCATGTAACACTCAAATTTTAACTTTTAAAAACTGTGTATGTCCCGTGTATTATAGATAAAGGTAAAGGTGATCCATTTAGATGATATGAGTCCCTCGTATCTTTTCATACATCGCAAACTTTCTAGCAGGAGCGATTTTCACAACTAGTTTAATAACTCCTTTTCCCATCATAGCCCTGTTGATAAGTTGTAAATAAGAGCTATGTGAAACAGAGGCGTTCGTGTTGTCTCGGTTCTAAAAGCTTTGGAAGGTAAGTCTTCGGAATTTAATTATAGATTAGTCAGTTTCTAATTCTTAACAAGTGGAATAAAGTACGTTTTAACCATTGTTTTTATGCCTGAAATCTGTAATTTCCCACTTACCAAAGACCGGTTGTAGTTTGCAGAATTTTAATATGAAAGTGGTTGTAAAATGAGCCTCGAACTATTGTGCTTATATGATCCCCAAACATTAATGGGCACGTATTACATTCACTACTAGTGTTCGTACTATTATATATGTATGCCAACAAAATATGCCAACATGCGTAATATGCCAACAAAAGGTTCCAGGTCCAAAACAAAAAGGAATTAGTGGTGCTACAGAATGACCCAGACCTCGTACTAGTTTCTTAATTTCTTTGGTCGGGTCTATCTTTTCGATCGTGCCCCATCCTCTTGCGAGCTGCCATCTATCGCCGCCCAAACAATGGCAATTCCTAATGGCAGCAAAATAAAAATAATTGAATATTATTGCAGAGTAAATCCTCGTCAAATATGGAAATTTTCTTTGAAAATTTTGGTGTCATTTTTACGAAAATGGCGTTTAAGCAATGCTGTATATGCGAAATTGCAATGCTGTATAAGCGAAATTGCATGCTCTTTTTCACTGAAAAGTATTGAGATTTTGAAAACTATTTTAATTTTTATTGGAAGAAGTTTAAAGCTCTGCCACTAACAAATGCAATAATGTATACAAATCGCCGAAAATGTGTGTATTAACGGCATAAGAGGTATTTAAAAAGTGTATTTTTTGATGAAACAAAAGAATACAGCAAAATAAATTTTAAGTCGCCTCAAAACAGTGCGATTAGCATTATGCGTACAAAACGTTTGAAGAAAAAAAATTGAGCAGTTGTTTGAGAACTGTTTGAGGGTTTCCGAAGTTTGTTTTTTCAGAGAAAAATTTTGAGTTTTCGGGAAACTTTCGTCATTTGAAGCACATGTACTTATAAATGCAATAATATGAACAAATCACCACTAATGTAAATATTGAAAGAAGACAAAAAATACATGTGTAATTTTTGAAAACCACAAAGATTAGAACAAAATAGGTTAGTCATGTTATAGGCGCGAGTGTTGTTCACATACACCAGATGGACGGGCGTTTTGGGGGGGGGGGGGAAAAAAGGAGAAAAAAATCGGTATTAGGCGCACCCGAAACATATTCACGTGTTACCGTTGAAATCTAGAAATAGATTTTCCGCAGAATTAAATAACATTTTCTACACTACGTATATATCTTATATGCCTACGTGTATGAGAAAATAACTAGTGCTAAAAATGCCACAGACTTTCTCGTACTTTTTTTTATTTATTTTTTTATTTTTTATTTTTATTTTTTTTATTTCGTTGGTCTGGGCACCCTTACATTCTTGTCCCACGTTCGTGCCAGTTACAATCTATCGCCGCCTCAAGTACATTAATGTAGAATCGAAATATCACTTTAAGAATATTAAAGAATAGTAAAACCTCGTCATATAAGGATATTTTTGTGGAAAACTTTGGAGCCGTTTTTAAGAAAATGGCGTTTAGGCGTCACTGAAAATGCGAAATTCGAAGTTCTTTTTCACTGAAATACTTTGTTTTCGAATAGCTTGAAACGTTTTGTACGGATAGTGCTAGTTCCACTGTTTAATGAGACATTAAGTTGCTTGTGGGATATTGTTTTTTTCATTTATTTTATTTTTTTATTTTATTTTTTTAAATTTTTTTATTTTTTCGAAAATAACACAAATGTAATTTTTTTGAAATCTCTCTCTCTCTCTCGGTTAACAAGCACATTTCCAGCAATTTGTAAACACTATTCCATTGCTGAGGTAGTGTTGTAAATTACTAATGAAGGTTTTTTGAAAACTCAAAAAAAAATTCTGATAAAGTGCTTCAAAGTTCGCAACTACAGTAACTCTTAAACGCCATTTTCTTAAATTAGTGTTACTACTTTTGTAGAACTATTACTAAAAGTAACCGGTCGAAAACGATAGGATGAAATCAATCTCCCATATTAGTTCGTCATTGTGAATAGTAAAACAATTTAATTGGCACACCTATTCTCTTTAATTCAGCAGCGGCTATCTAACATTAATTCCGATGTGCTCTGAGATTGCACGTACTTGCGCTCAGTCCGCTCATTCCTTTGCCACGAAAACTGGGAGCTCGGACCCATATCTTCAGGATAGCCCAACCCTCTTGGAGTATTTTTATTTTCATAATTAGTTTTTTATAAAATAACTGTGTACTATACTGTTAGTGTATAATGTGAATAGACACCCGTTCTCTTGACTTAGTAATAAGGCGCCCTAACAGAGAGGCAGGTGTGACACACGCAAGCTAGAAAGATGGGTTTTCAAAGACTACAGTAGCTTTAAGGGCGCCTTCCCACGGCGCGACCGCGGCGCGCTTCCTTCAAGCAGCAGAGCCCTTCCGCCGGAGCCACGGCCGCACCGCTGCCCGCCATGGAAGGGGGTGGGGTTTGGACGGGTAGGTTTCGCCGACCCTCCAGCGACGACGAATAAAGGGACCGGAGGCGGTAGAACGCTGCGGCCGTGGCGCAGTGGGAAGGCTCCCATTGAAAGCTGTGTTCTGCTAGCGGTGGCGCGTGGCCCCTCCTCCGCTTCGCGTAGCTGGAGTTCGGCGTCGGCTGCCGCAGCAGCCGCCACCCGCCACCCGCTGCACGTGGGAAGGCCTCCATTCAAACCAATGGTCTGCTACGCGAAGCGCGCCGCGGTCGCGCCGTGGGAAGGGGCCCTAAGGCTCCCATAGCTCGGCCCCGATGATCCACAGCGGGTGCGGCGCGAAAATTTCTCCGCTAGAGGCGGCGACGAAATTCCGCGGGACCGTTCACACCATGAAAATACTTTTAAAACGATTCACAGCGTCGATAACGCCACATTCAATTTTATTTTTTATTATTAACAGTACTTGTAAAGAATGGTTTTTCATTCTGCAGTCCTAGCAGTACGGACGTTTTTCAATCGAACAAATCTGCTTGACCCAAGTGGATTTTTACCGCAGCGAGTGTTGGCGTGAACAAAGGTGGGCTAGTCTTTCTTGGAAAGACGGTGACAGCCAGTACGCCAGAATGCGGCGCGACCGTGTATACTAGATACGTATATCTAATACACGTAAATATTAACTAACCTTCAAATAATATACCGCGAATTAAACATTTAAATAGGAATTCACTGTTTTTATTGCTTTGATTTTGTCACCCATGATAAAGTACTGTAGTGTTTCTAAAATATACAGTAAAGATTTTTTTTCTGGCTGCGTAAATAAATCTCAGTATAAAAGAGGAAGTCCTTTCTAGGCCACGAGCTGAAACGAGAGGGGGGGGGCACTTGTCATCCAATCGGGAGCTTAAGTACTTACATTTTAAGTCGTAACGAAGCTTGCGATTGCTTGAGTGTCCCTCCCTCCTGCCAGCTCGCGACCTAGAAGGGTGTTCGATTTTAATTAGAGTATAGTCTAGGTAGGAGCTTTTCAAAAAGGGAAGGTTTCGTAACGCCTCGTAGGCACTCTCAAAAGATTTTCCGTCCTTCACTACGCGGACTAACTCAATGGCGAACAGAACAGTTAAAATTCTATTCTCTTGTA